CTTGAGAAGAGAAAAGTAACCTGACGATAGCGAGAAACTTCTTTCAAAAACCTGCTCATTGCTTCTAAAATGTCTCCCGGTGGAACAGCGGTAAGTTAACGGACTTATAATGCTAAAATCCGGGGTTCGATTCCCCGCTGTGAACACAGCAGATAACCCAATGTGGTTTTTCTATACTAACAATGCTTCTAAAACTATATGTGACTGAAAGTTTGTGAAAACTTACTACAACAATGTTATCACTATATCCACCATTTCTATATTTTAATTCACGCATCTGCTTGAACAGGGTTTTCATTCTAAATTTTTGCTACTGGGTTTTGTTTGAACAACAGCAGCACAGAGAGTTACAATATCCCGTACTCTGATTACGAAACACTAGTTGTCACTAGTGCAAGTAGAAGTTTGCTGCAAACAAAGAGAGCTTTGACAATCGAGATTTTTTATTGATAAGCTTTAACACTAGAATTTCTGATGAATCATTTTTTTGTTGTTGCTGTTTAGTACAGAGCTCTCGTTATCATATAAAATATCAACGTAATGTATTGATAAAAATACAACAGAAATTACTGATTTTCAACACATGTACATTGTATTTCACTTCTAAGAAGATTTCAAAAGCAAACAGAACAAAAAAGTAAAATTAAAACTCTCGATTGAAGTAGGGACGGACAGACTAAAATAAGTAAGAAGAGATAATAGTTAAAAATATAAAAGAAGAAACAGACAAATTAATAGACAAAAAGCAAATTATAGCTAGTTGTCTGAAAAGGAAATGGTAGAATAGAAAGATGAAAGAAACAGACATATGGGAAAATTCAAAGACAACACAACGACAAAAATAATGAAATGAGAGAATGAAAACCCTTTTTCTTCAGTCGTTACTTTCAGAAATATTTGTTACCTTCGGGTGTATTAAAAATTTCAAAGATATTTAACACTAATGGTGGATAAGTTTCTAAAATTAGATTTTCACGTCGGTATCATTCTGGGGTTAAGCAGAACGGAAAAAAATGGTGTATAACTGATTTGTTTGTTTCATTGAATTTCACACAAAGCTAATTGAAGGCTATCTGTGCTAGCCATCCCTAATTTTGAAGTGGTAGAATAGAGGGAAAGGAGCTCTTCAACACCATCCACCGCCAACTCTTGGGATGTACTTGTAAGACCAAATAGTGGAATTGGACGGTCACGTTTATAACACATCCATGGTCTCAAAGTTCTAAGCGCGTTTTTTTATTTCGGCAGTAACAGAGTGATTAATTACCATTTCGTATTTTAAAAATACCCAGGATTCAGTCAGTACTGATACCTATGATCATCTTCTGTTCGACAAGAACAGTAATCATGTTTTAGTTGACGGTCAAATAGTTAATTTCTATCTAATACTTTCATTATTGTGTACATAAGAAGCTGCATTTTCCACAAATAATGGGTCTTGATAAGAACGAGAGAGAACTTCATATCTAAGTTAAAGTCCATATTTTCGGTTGTTCTGAGTTGGATTTTATTGTTTATTTGTTCTTACGTGTTATTTTTCGATAACTCGATTTCGGTTTGAACAATGAATGACCTAGAAAACTGACTAATATGCAATACACGCACCATGTCTCGGTAACAATGTACTTATTCTTTAGTTTATTTTATCAGTTAACAAGTGAGGGCTTAATACCCAAAATAAAATTACGATAAAATTTGGGAACCGCACACAAAAAGTTTGCATATAGGTTAAAATATGTGTCTTAAAAATCGACATTACACAACAGAAGGCTACTAAATAACAAAAAAACAAACCTGACGTGCAAAAAACTGTACATTTAAAAAAAATCACTAATTTTTAGCGGGAAAGTTGTTCTTCAGGGTTAAAACGAAAACCATTAATAAAATGATATATCTAATTTCTTATCGAAATCACAGTTTCTCTTAATTTTCTTTCAGCTTAATATTTTCGAAGTTATATTATTTATACCAAAAAATAAACAGATTGTTCAAAAATCCTTTCCAAATATTCACTATTTTTTCACGGACTCCGACTTATTATTACACTCCATTCTTTATTGTTTTATCTCTCTAATTATTTAATAATGTTGGATCTTTTAAAGTACAACTACAAGGTACAAAGGAAACACGTTGTTTTATGTCTTTTTATTTATATTTCTTAACGAACAACACATATAAGTGAGGTAAGAACTTGCTTCAAACTTGTTGCTTTAAACTGATTTAATTTAAAGTCTCGCAGGGATATTTCCGACGAAACGGGATCTTAAAATCCTAGTAAAGTGATAGAAAATCTTACTAGCTGGTGTATGTTGAATGATCTTCTGGACTCATATGAGTTAACAAGTAGTAATGAACTAGTACACGATTAATGACTCCTTAAGCTGTGCGAATGGACATTATATCACACGAACTCGTTAAAATAACAGAATCATTTTTTAAGCTAATGAAAATTTTTTTGACAAACTCGTGTGTGGTACTTACTGGTCTCCTGAAGCCATGTGAAGTAATATGTGGTATATGGAAACATTCTGACGGTAATAAGGACTCTAATACAATAATGCAGCAAGCCCTATAGGCAAAAAGATTAAGAAAGACTATTTTTATACTTAGGACAATTTTTTTTTTATTATTCCTGTAAACTCCCAGTGGAGCATAGGGCCGCGACAACACCTCACCAACGGAAAGTTGTTGTTGCAGTTACTTGTAGCAGGTTGGTTTTTACGGGGTGGAGTTGCTAGCACCACGCCCAACCTCCTCCTTTCTCATCCTGGACTTGAGACCAGACAAAGGAGGAGGTTGGCATGTTTGGTGTGACGGGGATTCGAACCCGCGACCCTCAGATTACGAGTCGAGCGCCCTAACCACCTGGCCATGCCGGGCCTACTTAGGACAATTAAAGCCGTCTATATATCAAACTATGACTTCTTAACATATCCACAAAGCAAATTCTCGGAACATTTTTTGGATGCCCACAATTAATAATGAATTATAAATGAACAGTCACTCAGTGAGTACCTGAAAGCTACGAACAGGTGGTGGTATCAGGAGATGGCGTCAAACTAATTCCATCATAATTTCCTGTAGCGCAGCGAAACTGTGATCGTTTAAGTACTAAGTAAACCTTTGTAGGAATAAAATTATCCAGACTAATTGAACAAACGGTAAACATACTATGTGGTAACTACAAGTAAGAAGCATATTAATAATAAACATGTTATACGGATATGTGATTAATTAAATTTGGGACAGACACACCTTCATACTACTGATATGATTTTACTGCAAGCTTTATTTCCCTAAAATATATCAATTTTCACACTTTAAAAATATCTTCTGATGCCAACTTCCTTTTTGTAACAATTCATTGAAAGAATGTAATTTTAAGTAGAATAAGTAGGTGTTTTAGCGAGTAGGTGTTTTAGTAGTTTTCCTAATGTTTTATAGGATTTCATACCAAAACAATGTTCCCGTTAACAAATATATTTTTAATTAAGTTTTGACAAAAGATACAAATAACGTTTTTGATTTTTACGCTACTTACAACGAAACATATGTATTCGATACTTCTGAAAGTAATTGTTAATAGTATTTCATAATTTGAATACTTTTTCGAAAAGCCTTGTATATGAAATATAAGAAAAATATCACTCTTCTGAATAATAATATTTAAGATTTAAATATTTTTTGTAAGTACATTGTTTACTCAAGGTATATTGCAATATAGTAAAGCACGTGTTCATCAGAATCAAAATTTGAGCTTTAAATCTTCTAAGTCTTTAGATTATGTCTTGCTCAATTCACGTATCAAGTTATCGACACTTAATATTTTCCCGCGAATCAGTTAAAAAAATAGAATCCACGCGCGGTTTATAACTATTACGAATGCTGTTGAATTTTTACATTGATATCAACAAAACCACTGCAGCGTGTGATCCTAAGCTTTAGATCGCCATAAGGTGTGTGTGTGTGTGTGTTATTGGACCAGTGTTACCACTCGAATAAACCTGCTGATCTCGCAAAAGAAGAAATAGCCTGTAAATGTCAGATGTGTTGTTTGCGAGTAATAAAATTTCTTACAAAGTTTTTATTCTCAACCTTCCAGCTCTCTGCTCTAGATTCACTGATTGATCGCTGCGGCAGTGTTATAGGTAACTGGACGTTTTTAGGACGTCAATTTGTGATTCGCTGGACCGAAAACAGGCGCCGAAACATGTTCGTTCTTTCGACTGTGAGGACGTTGTAATGTGAATAATGTGACGGTCGATCACACAATGCGTTGGTAAAAGAGTAGTCAAAGAATTAGTGGTAGGTGCTACTGGCCAGTTGCCTTTTCCTCTAACCTGCAGTATAAAACGATAGGGAAGACTATCGATAGCCTCAGTAATTTGATCATAAACCAAATCAAATAAACAAACTGATGATGAATGAATTCGAGGCTCCTCTCTCATCTTATGCACTACTAACATTATATTATCTTAACAACCATGCTTTTATATTCATTCAGTTTCATCTGAATAACTCCAGGAATATTTTTATTAATGTATTTGGCGAACCCTAAGGGTAGAATTTTTTTTAGGGTTTTAAACACTTTAAAGTTGCTTAGCTTTCTTTGAGAAAGGAATGACATTTCTATGTTATATTTTTATACGCCTTGATAAATCGGCTTGCCAAAGTGTTGACATTAAAATATATATATATCTTGATGGAAAGGGATTTCAATGAACTTTCTTGTTGTTGCTCATCTTTCCAGACAGATTACATATTAAAAGTGAGGACTCTTTGGCATTAAAAGACAAACAAAGTCGATAAGACATCGTAACAAAGCCTTATGTATAAAATGTCCATGCATCATAGTTTTTGGATTTACTTCAACCTTACCTGCTTTCAGCTCTCTTCTTAAAGTCATGTACATTTTGACAAGACACTGTAAAGGTTATTTTCAAACTAAAGTTCTTCTGGAAAATACCGGTATGCTAGGCGATTTAAAAAGCATATCTTACCTATATCAGAAGGCACTTCCGAACACAATACTGTGCCATGTTTTGAAAAATTAAAATGCTTCCGAGGTTGGCTATTCTGATAGTTTTTCTTTCGTGAGTGGCCTACCACTTTGTCAGATTTTAAGGAAGCAGCTTGTGTAGACGTTTTATCCATCCACGTTTCGTTTCTGCTCATTCTGATGACATGCTTAACAGAATTATTTTCATTCACTAATCTTTTTACTTTTATTTTTTTTGTCCTTATTCGACTACTTTTGTGAGAGGATATTACGTTCACAATCTGTCGCAACCGAGCCGAATGTTCTATTCCGTCTAGTAACGTATTATTATCGACGGACGGAGCCTTATTATCCAGGGCAGTGGCTGTTCTCAGCGGTTTCTTCAGCTTCTGAAATGTAAGATTGGTCTCTGGCTTATCAACACCAAATTTTTTAATTTGGGGATTAACAACTGTGGAAGGAATTACTAAAACACTCTGCTGTGGTGGTACGTACTGTGAGCGTCTGTACACGTGTATAACTGTAATCTGAAGTAATGTTACAATAATCAGACAAAAGACGAAAAGAATAACTAGAATTGAAGGCATCAGTCGCAACGCACGCTTTATGAATCGTCTCAGAAGCGGCCGCACCTTCGGAACAAATACCCTTTTGAGCTGCATTAACATTACTTTAAATTCTAATATAAAGATTCTCTTATCAAACTCAATTCACGAGTTGATGTAACGTAATAAAGGCACGAAGATATACGTCAAAGAAACGGAAAGAAAATAGCTTCTTGTCTTCCTGTCCACATAACCGTGTAGTTACGATTGGAACTTCTCGAACATTATGGAGCCATATATCGACCAATAGGTTGTCATGGTAACAAACATCCCCCTACGCTTTACATTAAACTGAAGGATGTTGGAACAGCCGTGCAACGCGTGAAAAGCGCGAAGGTCTTCTGAAAATGTCTGGCTACTTTACCGATAAAACGTATCTTAATTCTAATTATATATAACAAACATATGAGTAAAGAATCACGGGACTTTTACAGTGTCCTCTCGTGGGCAAAATTCAAAGTAGAATTTTACATTTGCTTACAATATAAAAAGTGATTATTAAAGAAAACAAACATATTTAAAATAATTATACCTTAAAAACTACTTATTTTAAGGAAACAAAATTTTAGCAAAGGTACTTTCAGATTCACAAATTTTATTCAGAAAAAATGTGGATAAAGTACAGTGGTTTTCCAAAGTATGTGATACTGCATATCTATATTGCTTTACTTGCAAATTAGCGTTGATTTAATTTTCATTCTTTCAACAATACGATTTTGGTTGTTTGTTTAAACTATATTTCATTATGCAGGATACTTCGAAAAACAATGAACATTATGCAGAACAGATTAGGAATTCAGTATCTTCATTTAGGGTAGACTTAATAAAACTGATTGAAATTGAAAAAGTATATAAAAAACACCTTATGTGACAGTTTTTGAAAAACCGCCTACCATGTTCAAACTTTCTTGATTAAAATGTATTATTGATTTCAATGTAACTTTGGTGAAATTTACTTTCTCTAGTACAAGTAGTTTACAAAATATAACCATTTGAAATATGGGGTGTTCTTTAAGCCTATAGGAAACATAATTAAATTGAGCATTATTAATTTTTTAATGTTTGAAAATAATACATAGTTGGCGCTTTTTTGTGACACCGCCAAAGCTGAAAGGGCTTAGTCTTCGCTAATTTTGAAATGATAAACTAGAGGGATGAAGGCAGCTAACTAGTAAACAATAACCATTGATAACTCTTGGAACATTCTAATCGAATAATGAGGTTTCATTCTCATTCTTACAATATATAAACAGTCGTAAAGTGCGAGTTTACGGCAGCGAGACGCGGACTAGACTCTCGGTTTAGTTTCTTTATAAGTGCAATATTTTTTATGTACCTTATGAGAGATAGTGATATTTTCGACCTGAGCGCTGCTTTATGTACAGGTGATATATATGTTCCTAAGTACGAGTTACAGGAAAGGTAACCACTCAGTAGCACCCACCACCTCAGGAGATGTGACTGGTTTTGAATAATAATGGAATTGACTGTCACTCCTATAACGCACTCATAAATGAACCTGTGAAGCATGTTTAGCGGCATCAAGAATTGAACCTTTAGCCTACGGTCCGCAGCCCAGCATGGTAATCACTAAATAGAGCTCGTCCCTACGTTATCAAGACATGAAATTAATAGTTTACCAATAAAATATACTGTTAAGAAAAATCAAATGTCAATTTGGAATATAGAAATCATCAATCATGATAATACTAAATGATTTCGAAAACTTGTCTTTATTAAAGTATTTTGTTATATGATTTATCTTTCACACTTGATTATATTCATTATCTAAGCTTCTTTTAGTGTTTATTTATTGTTAATTTTTACAATTTTCCTCAAAACCATTCAAGAAAATGAAAAACAGGACAACTCCAATCAATGTTCACATAAAACTGATCAGCAGAAACAAATATTAGGATTTATACATAGGTGTCGCATGCAAAATGTGTGTATATGTGAAGGACAAAATCAGAAGTAAAGCAAGCTTGTCAGAATTGCGTCTGTCGAAAACAGTTTGAGCTTAGTACGATGTAGTGGGACCAAGATGCAACAGAAATCAGAAGAAAAAAACACGAGATAGATTAATATGTAAATAAACAGTTTAGTAACCAACATAACTAATCTTCAATTTTTACCTTAAGCTGATCTTTTTCCAATTATCAAATTTTAGAACCGTTGTCTGTTTACAGTGAGTCTTTATTGTAGACCAAACACTGAATTAAAGTTGAGGAATTCATAAACCTATCAAGTTTATCGGAGGGAGCAAAGTGGGTCATGTTCCCCTGGGGATTTCTTACGGATGCATAGATTTATTTTGATAAACTTTACTTGGAGAAGATTGTTCATTCTTGATAATTATCAGTATGATCGTAATAATAATATTATCGGTTCGTGAAAAAAAGTGCAGGGTAAAGTAATTAACATCATTAGTCTTAACACCTTTGTTGTATTATAATCTGAAGTGACAAAAATATGAACTTCTTTGTAAACGTATGAAGGATACGTTTGTTTGTTTGTAGTAAAGTACAAAGCTACACAATTGGCAATCAATGCTGTGCCCACCACGGGTATCGAAATCCGATTTTTAGTATTATAAGTCCGCAGACTTTACGCTACGCCACTAGGTGGCTGCACGATACGATAACGGATATTTCAAGATTCAGTATCTTATTGTATCGTATCGAAATGGTGAAACTAGCAACTTCGTCACTGATACGTGCAGGAAACAGTGACTGATATTCCAAGTTTGAACGTTGTATTATATATTTCTAAACGGAGAGGAATATAAATTTTATCATGAATACACGGAGTATAGCTGATACGCCAAGCATCAGTATTTTATTAAGTCATATCATATCTGAATGAACGAATGTTCCAAGTCTTACCAGTTGTGTTATATCGTATCTAAATGGACGAAAATAGGCGATTCTCAGTGGGTACGTGCAAGGTGCAGATAATTGGTAACTCGTCAGTTGTGTCGTAAAATATTCAGAAAACTTTTCAAAACAACCAAATAAAAGGATCATATTGCGGGCAAATTTGCTTAACAAGCATGAAATACTTTTTTTAATCACCTTGTGACTGATATTTGAAGTTTTCCAATTTTCATTTAGTTAAATTTGCATGTATTAAAAATATAAAACGTTATCAAATTATAAGACAACAATGAAATTTGCAACAACAAAAAAGAAGAAGTAGAAATCCGTGATTTCTGTATCAGTATAAATTACATTCCAATATATTCCTTTGAAGCAGATTATGTATTTCTGATATTACAGGTTATTTATTGGCTTTATATTTCAATCGCCAACAAACAATTTAATTTGCTTTGTTTTTAAATGCCCAAAATCAAAACACAAGTTTTAATTGATTTTGATTTGCTCAACAAAGACCGTTCTGTGAGGTATCTGTAGTTAGAAATTAACGTCTTGTGTCAACTCAGCAACACACACACACACACACACATCCTATATAATATATTGTGCCGTGTATGATTTATCTATAAAAGATAACAGAAGTACGTGCATGGAAAAAGGAAAAAAGATATGGACCTTTAAGTTTTGTGTTCATTGCTTGCTATTTTTTTCGAGTTTTTAATCCATCGTGGTACACGTTTTATTTGCTCAAGATAATTATTTTGTTCCATACGGCGTTCTTTGAAAAGTAATCAAATAACGTAAGCGGGTACATATATATGTCAAGTACGTTTAAAGTAAATTAAAAAACTTCAGTTACTTACTTGATGCTAGAGGGCTCTATCTAATCATTTTTTAAGTCACATTCATGATCCGTATTCAAAAACCAATGCTTTAATAACAAATTTATAATTTAATTTATACAAGCGATTCAAATATCATAGTTTAGGTACGGTTGCAATATACATTGTTACATATGACAATTTCTAATAGCGTAAAACTGAGTTAAATTGTAATTTAGATTTAGCAGTTAAATATTTGCCTAATATATCTCCAATTTATGATATTTGCCAACAAGATTGATACACACAGTTTTATTTTTTAATACAAATATGTTTTAACATACAAACAATAATCAAATTTACAATAACAGTTATTGTAACAGTTAGAAATGGTTATTACGAACAATGATTTATATACAAAAGTTTCACAAACTTACGAGCAATATAAAGTATTATTTCTAGTCTGGAACTACCCTGATATCTTATCGAGGGTTGATGATGAGCGAGTTAATTTCGAGTTGACGTTGGTATAATTCACTTAACAGGGAGCTAGCTACCCCTGTAGTTCTCGCTCATCACACGCCGATTACAGGTCGAGTTTCCACCGATAACATTAGGTAATGTTTTCGTAAAAGTACCAATGTCCAATGTGAATCCACTGAAGTTAAATGGTTTGTAATGTTCGAAATTTATAAACGTTTCTGGTCAAATATCTGAAGTTTCCCGATTACTAAGCGTTAATCACAGTTATGGCTTACGAAGTTTATAGTACACCAATTACAACAACCCGATAATATATACTGTTTTTAGGCGAGGCGCGTTGGTTATATTTATAGGCGTGTGGTGAGTTTCTCGAAAATTTAGATTACGTAACAATACAAACCTACACTGGCATTTACGTACACACATATATTGTTGATTCTTTCACTC